ACTCTTCAGGTCCTATTCCACATACTAGAATTTTCTTGGCACGAAAATTCTTATCCACAGCTTTCTTGTCTGCTTCAGTGTACTCCTTACTGGTTTTTGCCATTGAGAATGGAAGTTCTTCCAGTACCTTGGTTGGAACATAAGGACCATCGCANCAAAGGACTTTTAGCTAACTTCGTGACTGTTCTCACCACACGCACTTTGTCACCCACGGTTTACAAAGGACTTTTGCTTATAGCTAAAACCTAGCCACACGTAAAACGTCAAGGAGTTTACGGATTTACAGAGGATTCCAATCAACGCTTCTAGCTAAGCAATTTAGGAGATACAATAAGTACAATCACAAAGTTACAACTCAACTAGGACAACAACATGCTAACTTTAGAAACTGGTCCGTAGTTGCGTTCAACTTTGTCTTCAAGCTCGTGAGGATTGAGTTTCTCTGTTTTGGCAAGAAGCTTGAATGAGAAACTGAAACCTTCAAGTGATGTTCCAATATAAACTCATGTTGGTACACCTTGATTATTACATCACTTGATATGATGTGAGCACTTTAGTTTGTCAGGAATGAGTGGGCTCTGGAAACAGTGCAATGCGGCAGAAACAGTGCAGGCAGTCACTTCGTTTCCAGCTGTGTCCAACTGACTTTGTACTGCTATGAGGGAACCACAAGGGTAGCAGGTCCTTGTTTAGTTTCCTAGCTCCTGAAGCTGTAGCAGTTCACATTTGGCTGGAGTCAATTAAATGCTGTGTAATCCACGTGAGTCAGGTTCCCTATCTGGTTCTTGACATTAAGTTTGTTAGATCATCAAAACACAAGGCAAAGATATTGAAAACCTATCAATTTTTGTATCAAGTGCAATTAAATTTTCTTTCTCTTTTAGTTTAGATACAAATTTAACTTTTATTTTCGTTACTAAATTACCTACATGGGACATTTATTTTGCATTCTTAAAATATTAATTTGTTATCCAATTGTTATTTTTCTTNGAGAATTATGATGAAGCCATGCAAGATAATCACAAAGATCATTGGATCGAAGCGATGGAAGATGAGATGAAGTCACTCCATGAGAATGGCACATATGAGTTAGTGAAATTGCCGAAAGGTAAGAGAGCTTTATCTAACAAATGGATATTCAGAATAAAGCAAGATAACCATACCTCTGCACCTAGATACAAGGCGAGGTTAGTTGTTAAAGGTTTTGGCCAGAAGAAGGGAGTTGACTTTGATGAAATTTTCTCCCCTGTTGTGAAGATGTCTTCTATTCGTGTGGTTCTAGGCTTAGCCGCAAGTCTAGATTTAGAGGTTGAGCAGATGGATGTCAAGACTGCTTTTCTTCATGGTGATTTAGATGAGGAGATTTATATGGAGCAACCTGATGGTTTTGTAACTAAGGGAAAAAAAATTATGTCTGCAAATTGAAAAAGAGCTTGTATGGATTGAAACAAGCTCCAAGGCAATGGTATTTGAAGTTTGAATCTGTCATAGAAGAACAAGGGTACAAGAAAACTTCTTCAGACCACTGTGTATTCTTCCAGAAGTTCTCTGATGATGATTTTATTATTTTATTGCTTTATGTGGATGACATGCTTATTGTTGGAAAGAATAAATCCAGAATTGCAGTCCTTAAGAAGCAGTTGAGCAAATCGTTTGCGATGAAGGACTTGGGGTGAGCAAAGAAAATCTTGGGCATTCAAATCCACCGACACAGAGATAGAAATGAGTTATTTCTGTCCCAAAAGCAATACATTGAGAAGGTACTCAAGAGGTTCAATATGACAGATGCAAAAGTGGTTAGTACTCCTCTTGCTAAACACTTCAAATTGAGTATTAGTCAGAGTCCATCTACTGATGAAGAGAAAAAGGAGATGTCTCGTATTCCTTACTCTTCTACCGTTGGTAGCTTGATGTATGCTATGGTTTGCACTAGACCAGATATTGCACATGCCGTTGGCACTGTTAGCAGATTCATTTCCAATCCTGGAAAAGAACATTGGGATGCAGTAAAATGGATATTAAGGTATTTAAAAGGTACTGCAGATTTGAAGCTGTGCTTTGGCAATGGCAAGCCTGAACTTGTTTGTTACACAGACTCTGATTTAGGAGGCAATCTTGATAATTCAAGATCCACTTCCAGTTATTTGATCACTTTTGCAGGGGGAGCTGTTTCTTGGCAATCTAGACTACAGAAGTGCATAGCTCTATCCACCACAGAAGCCGAATATATTGCTGTCACAGAAGGTGCCAAAGAACTACTATGGATGAAGGAGTTTATTAATGATCTTGGCTTTGAGCAGCCACGGTACATCTTATTTTGTGATAATCAGAGTGCTATCTGATTATTATTTGGTGAGAAAGATACACACTGTCTCACCAAGCACTCCACTTTTCATTCTAAGACCAAACATATAAATAGAAAGTATCATTGGATAAGAATGTCCGTGGAAGAGAAATTATTTGAGGTTGAGAAGATACACACTGATGAAAATCCTTCGGATATGCTGACAAAGGCGGTGGTTGCAGATAAACATGAATTTTGTAGAAAATTGGCAGGCATGAAGCCTGTCAATAGTTCCTCTACTTGAAGACACGTTTGGCCCCTTGGCTGGAGGGGGAGTTTGTGGGCACATGCCCATGTTGTCCAGCAAAAGGCCCAATGGCCTAATCCTATTCTCTTTTGGTTTCCAATCCTATTTGGAATTGGATTCGGTTTATTCCTATTTTGAGTGGGTTTTGGCTTTAAGAGAAAGCACCACTCATGATCTATAAATAGGACAACCTTGGAGAATTATTCTATGCTCATTGATACAAGTCTTTGAAAGACTTAAGCACATAAGAGTGGGTTTTGAGAGAGCTTTCATCAAGAGAGAAGAGAGAAAAAAAGTATTTGTTTTGCTGCAGATTTTTATTCCGACCAGCCAACTTCAAATCACGTTTTCCGATTCGTTAACCGTTGGATCGAGCTGAAATTTTGACTGAGTGTTCGTAACATCTTCTCTTGGATTTGAACGGTGGAGATCGGATTTGGAGGCTCGTAGCATCTGATTTTGAGCCTCGAACAGCAGCTTCGTTTTGTGGATTATACTCTTTCTTCAATTGATTAGTTGTTGCTCTTGTTGCTATTGTTGCTCCGTGTTTGGCCCTTGTTGTGTAGCCAATTTGGAGAACTTTTGTAACCCTCTTACTGTTATGGTGGAGTTTTTTGGATCTTTGTGATCCCGTGGTTTTTACCTTCGATTTGAAGGGTTTTCCACGTTAAAATTTGGTGTTCTTTATCTTCTTTATTTTCGGATTTGCCTCTTCCTCGACATAACAAGTGGTATCAGAGCCAGCTTCGAGCAAGGTTCAAGACAGGTTCATCTTGGCGGGTTCAGTTCTAGCCGCGACATATTTGACGATAATCGTGATTTTTATTTGAGAAATTTGACCGGTGTGCTACGCGCGTTGAGACAAACTTTGTGGTGGAGATTTGGAGATGTGACCTATTGAAGGCTATGTGAAGAAGGTGGATCAAGTTTATTTTGTCAGAAAATTCAGGCCAAGGGGGAGAATTGTTAGGTGTTTGCCATTATTTTCTTACCATATTTGGTTTTCCTATCTCGTGAAGGAAAAGGGCAATATAATTACCTTTGGATTTTCCTTCTTGTAGAAGGAAATTACAAATCTCCTATATTTGGCTAGTCCTTTTTCTTGTAGGAAAAGGTTTGGACTTCTATAAATTGAGGATCCTTCTTTCACATTCAGTAGCATCCACAATGTAGCCATAGGGGGCTTGAGAGTCTTGTTTAGGGGGAGAAATTTACGGGACAAGTGTTAGTGTGTCACTTGTGTTTGCCTCTTCGTGAGGTTGTTCTCTCGATGTTTTGTACTCTCTTTTATTATAGTGGATTGCTCATCTCCGCCGTGGACGTAGGTCAGTTGACCGAACCACGTTAAATGTTTGTGTCTCTTTTGGTAGATTTCTCCTTTGTTGTTGGATTTATCGTCGCTCAAGGTTTGCTATGCTTGCTTCCGCATGACACCTGATTTTTTCGATCCTAACACAGAGGAGGGGCCAAGATTTGAAGCTTAGGGGTTCAGAATTTTAGTCGATTTAAGTTAATGGGGTTCTAAATTAATAATTTGTACATATTCAGTGAATTTTCTAAGACAAATACATAATCTGAACTAAAATAACCGAGTTCAGTCGAAACTGTAACTTATACATTGGTTTCGCCTCTAAGAAGGGAAGGGGGTAAAGATAAAAGGGATACTACGCCTACATATGGGGTTTGATGAGCATGAGCATGGACGATCCAAAGAGNCAGTTAGGTAGGTTGGGGGGGGGGGGGGTGGAGAGAGTGAGCAAGGAAACATGGAGACTTGGGGGAAGAAGAGTGAGGAGACTAGCATAAAAAATATTTTCTACTCTCTAATCAAACACTAGAAAATATTTTCCACTCACCAACCAAACAAGGAAAATAAGTGATAAAACCACTCATTTTCCATGAAAACATTTTCTAGGAAAAGATTTTATATGGAAAAGATTTTCCTTCGTACCAAACACACCCTAAGAGAATCAATAATTTCATTTAAGCTCATATAAGAGAAGGTTTTTGTAAAAACATAAAGGGATTTTAACTATTAATTTTGCAAGAAAATGCAATATCTCGTTGATAAAGTGGGTCGGATCATCCGGGTAACCGTAGCCACGCCAAAATGCAAAGGTTAGATAACCAACAACTGCAACGTTCTATCCATTTTTGAAATCTTTGAAACGGCGGTGAAATTTCTCTTGTGGACATTCTTCACCGTCTCTCTCTCAAAGCACCGAAGAAATGGTAAGTCTTTTCAGATTTCTTCACTTCTTATGTGATTGTTTGATCAATTTTCTTACTAGTACTAATTAATAGACCAAGAAAAATAAACTTGCTCTTATCCTAAGTACTAGATGGTGTGTGCCCATATGCCCGACATTGTAAAGAGATCTCAGAAGTTCAATTTTGTAGAGCAGAACAGTTCAGAAGCTGATTTTTACAGCAAAACAAATTAGAAAGCAACTCCCTTTCTCCCCTCCAAGTGCAGACATACATACATTGGTACACTCCTTCATATTCTTTATTTTCTCATATAATTTGGCTGAAGAAAAAAAAAAGAAAGGAAAAAAAATCTCAGATTTAGCTACCATCGCAGCATAAGTAATATCCCGTCTTTAGCTTGGGAAACTTGATGCACGTTCATGATTCCTGTTGTGTTCTTTCTGGCATGCAATGTCAACCGGAAATGCTTATGGTAGGTTGTTTCTGCAAAATGGTTTGGATCTCCCACTTGCATCATTGTTCAAATTCATATGAGATTCAGTTCTAATAGGCACAAATGAGCATTCTGGTATTCTTAATTAAAGAAATGAGCATTTGACAAATTGTTAGATGCATTAGTTAGCAGTACAAGACAGTCCACTTACTGAAGGGCAAAAGTATTTGTGTGAAATTTCTAACTGATAACTATTGATTTCCTAACTACAATCTGAATGAAAAATCAAAAGGTGTCAAATATGAAATTTTGATATACATAAACTTAAGATCCAGACAGTACAAAATTCTCATGCTTTCTTGTAAAGGCTTTGGTAAGATCAAATTAAGCACTGTAAAAAAACTACTGAAAGTGGAATCCAATGCCACTAACAAAAGTGTCAAAACCCAAATCATTAACAAAATAATTCTTATTACAGTTTACAAGCAACATACAGCTATCCAAGTTGAGAAGAATAATTAAAGCTGAATCCGGTGTCGAGATATTATCCAATTATTAACCAAATGCCTTAAAAGTTAAAACTGAAGAATAATTGTTCCATCTTTGTTTTCTCTTGCTTCCATGTAAATCTATGATATATAAAGCCTTGGAAGATAGTTCAACAATGTAAAGAAAATCTGAACTTAGAAAAAAGAACACAGGTGAAATAGAAGCAAAAAAGCAAAATCTGCGCAACTAAAGGAATAACCAATCCTGTAAAAGTGACAATATTAAATTTTTCATTAGTTCCTCTAAGTCCCCGTACATCTTAAAAGAAATTGTGCAGCAAAATCCAACTCCGACATTACTTGCTTTCCTTAAATTGGAAAAGGAAAAAAAAAATAAAAGAGTTGGTCATCAAATGAGGCTACAACATGATTTTAGATGTGAAAATGAACAGTACTTTAAAATACTTACTGCAGGAATATCAATGGTTGTTAGAGCAATCTCCTTAAGTCTTGTTGGGCACATGCCCATATTGTCCAGCCAAAGGCCCAATGGCCTAATCCTATTCTCTTTTGGTTTTCAATCCTATTTGGAATTGGATTCGGTTTATTCCTATTTTGAGTGGGTTTTTGCTTTAAGAGAAAGCACCACTCATGATCTATAAATAGGACAACCTTGGAGAATTATTCTATGCTCATTGATACAAGTCTTTGAAAGACTTAAGTACATAAGAGTGGTTTTTGAGAGAGTTTTCGTCAAGAGAGAAGAGAGAAGAAAAATATTTGTTTTGCTGCAGATTTTTATTCCGACCAGCCAACATTCAAATCACGTTTTCCGATTCATTAACCGTTGGATCGGGCTGAAATTTTGACTGAGTGTCTTGGTCTTGGATTTGAACGGTGGAGATCGGATTTGGAGGCTCGTAACATCTAATTTCGAGCCTCGAACAGCAGCTTCGTTTTGTGGATTATACTCTTTCTTTAATTGATTAGTTGTTGCTCTTGTTGCTATTGTTGCTCCATGTTTGGCCCTTGTAGTGTAGCCAATTTGGAGAACTTTTGTAACCCTCTTATTGTTATAGTGAAGTTTTTTGGATCTTTGTGATCCCGTGGTTTTTACCTTCGATTTGAAGGGTTTTCCACGTTAAAATTTGGTATTCTTTATCTTCTTTATTTTCGGATTTGCCTCTTCCTCGACATAACAGTGGTATCAGAGCCTTGGTTATTTATCTGGGTTATTACGGAATGGAGGCGAATATGAGCAAGATGGTATGTTTAAATGGGAGAAATTATAATGTTTGGAGAAGCAAGATGAAAGACTTGTTGTTCGTGAAGAAGATGCATCTACCCGTTTTTCAGCTCATAAACCCGAGAGTATATCCGATGAAGATTGGGATTTCGAGCACCAACAAGTATGTGGATATATACGACAATGGGTTGAAGATAATGTTCGCAACCATATTGTGAACGAGATACATGCGAGATCATTGTGGGAAAAGCTAGAGACTCTTTATGCTTCAAAAACCGGGAACAACAAATTGTTTCTGCTAAAGCAATTGATGACCTTTAAATACAAGGAAGGCAGCCCTATCCTTGATCACATAAATGATTTTCAGGGCGTCCTTGATCAGCTATCTGGAATGGGGGTTAATTTTTGATGATGAGATACAAGGACTTTGGCTTCTTAATACTCTGACAGACTCTTGGGAAACTCTTCGTGTTTCTTTGACAAATTCAGCTCCTGGAGGTAAGGTGACCATGGAATATGCCAAGAGTGGTGTGTTGAACGAGGAAGTAAGGAGAAAATCGCAGGGTTCATCCTCACAAGCAGATATCTTGGTTACAGAAGACCGGGAGAGAGATAGAACAAGAGGCTCAAGGAATAGAGGTAAAAGTAGAAGTAAGTCAAGGTCCAAATACTATAATGTTACATGCAACCACTGTGGCAAGAAAGGACACATCAAAAGGTTTTGCCGCAAGTTGAATCAAGACACTAGAGAAGGAAAGAAAGTTGAAAATAACGAGAACAATTTTGCTGCTATTGTTCAAGATGACCTTCTTTTTGCTTATGATGAAAACGTCATCAATTTGGTATCCCATGAGACGAGCTGGATAGTAGATTCTGGAGCTACCTCACATGTCACACCAAGAAAAGATTTTTTCTCATCTTATACTCATGTTGATTCTGGAGTGTTAAAGATGGGCAATGCCAGTGAAGTTAAGGTGTTTGGTGTTGGCACAGTTTGTTTGAAAACTAATAATGGTTCAACGTTAGNGCAGAATGCTGAGGATTTTCCTCACTCGCTTGTTTCTAGGAATAGTTTCACCAAGTGAGTGTAACTCATTTATGATGGAAGTGAATCTTGTGTGCATATCTTGAATGGATTCATCATCCCTCATTTTGAAGAGTTCATACTCGGTAGTGATCATATCAATCTTAGACTGTTTTACTTGTGTGGTTCCCTCATGAGCTGTTTGCAAAGCTTCCCATATCTCCTTGGCAGTATCGCAGGTGGAGATTCTATTGTACTCTTCAGGTCCTATTCCACATACTAGAATTTTCTTGGCACGAAAATTCTTCTCCATAGCTTTCTTGTCTGCTTTAGTGTACTCCTTACTGCTTTTTGCCATTGAGAATGGAAGTTCTTCCAGTACCTTGGTTGGAACATAAGGACCATCGCAAATGATATCCCATAACTCAAAATCCTCAGCCATGATAAAATCATGCATTCTTGTTTTCCACCACCCATAGTATTGTCCATTGAACTTAGGTGGTCGGTCTGTAGATTGACCTTCTTCAAAATTTGGTGGAGCAGCCATGAGGATCCTTCCTAGGTGTTAGCCTGATAGGAGGAACCCGCTCTGATACTAATTGTTAGTTTGTGTGAGTCCACCAACCAGTAGATTACCTGGTCCTTTACAAGGTTCTGCTGAGAATGCTAATAAAACTGTAAGTAAATAAGGCAGAGGATTTTTACGTGGATAAATCCCACACAAGGGGATCAAAAAATCACGACCTACACCTGTAGGCTTTTAACTTCACTAACTTGCAATCTCACTATTACAAGCCACTTTGCAATAACCCTATTACAAAGACTTCAGCTAACTTGTGATGCTTTCACCACAAGCCACTTTATAACTCTCCTAGTAACAAAGGCTTTAACTAACTTGTAATGTTCTCACCACAAGCCACTTTGTCACCCTACGGTTACAAAGGCTTTTGCTTATGACTAAACCTAGCCACAACGTAAACTGAAGGAGTTTACAGATTTAGAAAGGATTCCTAATCAACGCTTCTAGCTAAGCAATTTAGGAGATACAATAATTACAATCACAAAGTTACAACTCAACTAGGACAACAACATGTTAATTTTAGGAACTAGTCCGTAGTTGTATTCAACTTTGTTCTTCAAGCTCGTGCGGATTGATTTCTCTGTTTTGGCAAGAAGCTTGAATGAGAAACTGAAACCTTCAAGTGATGTTCCAATATAAACTCATGTTGGTACACCTTGATTATTACATCACTTGATATGATGTGAGCACTTTAGTTTGTCAGGAATGAGTGGGCTCTGGAAACAGTGCAATGCGGCAGAAACAGTGCAGGCAGTCACTTCGTTTCCAGCTGTGTCCAACTGACTTTGTACTGCTATGAGGGAACCACAAGGGTAGCAGGTCCTTGTTTAGTTTCCTAGCTCCTGAAGCTGTAGCAGTTCACATTTGGCTGGAGTCAATTAAATGCTGTGTAATCCACGTGAGTCAGGTTCCCTATCTGGTTCTTGACATTAAGTTTGTTAGATCATCAAAACACAAGGCAAAGATATTGAAAACCTATCAATTTTTGTATCAAGTGCAATTAAATTTTCTTTCTCTTTTAGTTTAGATACAAATTTAACTTTTATTTTCGTTACTAAATTACCTACATGGGACATTTATTTTGCATTCTTAAAATATTAATTTGTTATCCAATTGTTATTTTTCTTTATCTAGTTAAACTTTAATTTTCTCGTCCTATACATAGCTTGAGCATTTTAACCCTAATTTTAATCTAATCTCAAGTTCAAATCATCTTTCCATTCTATTTATAATATTAAATATTAAATATTTTTTAATTTTTAATTATTTCTATTACGTTACCTAATATATAATATTTAATAGTTTCATGTAACTTTCCTCTTTATTTAATATCATTATACATTTATATTCTTTAATATAATATACATCAATATGTGATTTTTTTAATCATGATATAAATATTTATTTTATTTTAAATTAATACTCGAAATTATTAAATTTTTTAATAATATTTTTAAGTACTACATAGTATTTTTAAATATTTTGATTTAGTTATTTATAATTAATTAATTAAGAAATAAGTTATATGTGGCTTTTTCTAGTTATACCATATGGTTGAATTAGTTATTAGTTAATAGTTGTTTAGTTAATAGTTACATGTGGGTAATTTTAAGGCTGCCACTTGGCTTAAGGAGAGGAATTTTTTATCTTCTTTTAATAATAGATAGGGATATAGTAAATTTTCTAATATTTTGATTTAGTTATGTATTATT